TCAATTTTTGTAAAACCTCTACACAATTGTGTGTTTAATTAATCGGGAGTTGATGGTATTACCTATTACTTGTGACACTTGATTGTCAAAAGCTTTGGGTATAACTTATGTTTTACGAGTTTTCACGCATGGCTTATGTCAGTTTAAAAAAATATCGTATTAGATGTTCTTAATACTATAAGCAGAAGAAAAAAAAATTATAAACTATAAGGAATTTATAAAAGGTAATAAAAATAAATTAAACAAATTAGAAGAGCCCACTGTGCGAGCGTACCAAGTTCCCGGTTTCTAAACTTATTTTAAACATTATACTATGATACAATATAAAAATATACAATTTAAAAATAATTTAAGAAACATAAATTAATGAATACCTTAATTTGTATATAAAGTAATTATATTTTGGTATATTTAAGCAATCTTTAGTAACTAGTATGAATACAATTTAATATATGAATATAAACAATCATACCTCGGGCACTGATAATAAAAGAACAGATATTCACAACAAAGATATAAGTCATAAAAGGCTTTAAACTAATGTTGAGATCTCTTGAACTAGCTTGTATATAAAATTAAATATATTACAACTTGAATGCAAAAGTATTAAAACAATATTGTATTTGATTTTCCCTGGTCTTCTTTTGTCTTCCTATTTTATAAAACATAAAGTACTTATAGTCCAGTTAATAAAAATATTATATTTATATAAATTTATTATCATAACTTTTATTTTAATTAATTCAAATACATTATTTAATTCTTCGTAACACGATCTTAATTGTTAATATTGTTACGTATAACAAATTAGTGATCACATAAATACATACTACTATATTAGCATTGATTAAGATTTGATTTCATTTTTTTCATATTCATACAACAAAAATAACTACAAAAAATAACTTATAGGCAATTCCACTATGTCAAATTGACACTGAAAATGTTAAAAAACTACTATACATCTCATCACAAATTTATAACCCGGTTGGCCACTTATAGAATAGTATTATGTTTAATCACACTTTAAAATTAATTTAAACAAATTGATACACATTAATATCATTTATATACAATTTATATTAAATTTCACTCACCAATTCAAAATAAATTATAGTATATATGACACAAATATTAACTTTTAGGCGATTGGTATTTTCCGTATTTTATTAAATTCATAATAATTTATGACTCAACACCACCAATTATTTAAATTTAAACTAATATAAACAAATAAAATTTTTCTTCAGACATGTTCTATAAAATCCAAATTATCATATTATAGTTCTTTTTACCTAATTAACAAAACATAATACCGTTGTTGTATTGAATTATCTTCACACAGTTGTGGTATTTTAATTTTAAATGAAAAACTACAAGGTATAGCGTGTTCTACTTAAAATTTTAAATGAAATTATTCATTTGTAATGAATTAATTAAGTATTTAGTATTAAGTATAAAGTAATTAAGTAATTAACCTTAAGTACAATATATTGTTTGATAATGTATCTATAAACTCAAATTTTAAGAAATTGTGAACATTATTTGTGATCAAGGAGTCGGTTGAAAAAATTTCACTTTTTAGTAATTACTAGTTGTAAAATATAAGAAGTATTGTCAGGATATTTCATGGTTTTGTGCTTGGAAAATATCAAATTAAAATTAATATTTAGCTGGTTCAAATATAATACGTTCAATTTGGATAAAACAAAGTCTAATTTATAAATTTATGAATGTTGTTTAGTAAACAATATAAGTTTGTTATGATCTATGTTGAATTTCGTTGAGAATTTAATACCACGGTCTCTTGCTTTACAATTTCATACCATAATATAATACATAATGAGTTCGATTTCTTATTATTATTATAATCGTAAAGTAACTATATTTATATAAATAATTAATATACTTTATAATTTATAGGTTAATACAGAGGTTCCCAAATTATGGGTCGCGACCCAAAAGTGGGTCGCAATAATATTTTTAGTGGGTCGCGTTGTATTTTTAATGTGTTTCTATTACTTTTGGTTGATGTTTTATTATTTAGTTAGTTTTATCATAATTTGTTATCTGCGTTTGTGACAATTACAAATTTACTACGACCAATAGACATAATAATATTTCTTTATAAGTCTATGCTCGACTGTGTCAATACGAAACAATCAGATTAATGATTATTGAAAATATAACAGTATATTTAAAATAAATCAGTAGCTGTATGACGTTCGAATAAATTGATTATTTTCAGTAACACACGGTATATTGAATACAATACAAGCACACAGTTTAAATTTTACTATTTTTCAAAAAATGTTGTACAATTACTATGGATAAACGGTTAAATAAAAATTCAATGACTCAAAGTTCTACGAAAACTGAAGAAACAGAGATAATATGTGTGTCAATGGTTAAAAAAAGAAAAAAAATTGATGATGAGCTTACAACAAGTTCTTTCCAATTAAAATAAAAAAATGGATATCAATGCAGTTATGAAAAACAGGAAACAATTACATCCTTCACATTAAAATGATATACTTACTAATTAAATTACATAGTATAAACTTTTTTTTATAAAAATATAATACTTTTATTCAATTTAAAATGATGAAAACAGCAAAAAAAAAGTCATTGATATTATTGTGGGTCGTCAAAATTGAAATATTTTCCAAAATGGGTCCTACTATAAGAAGTTTGGGAACCTCTGAGTTAATATATTTCATGATGAGTAATAATTGCCTTAGGTCTGTTAGCTGCGTAGAAGAAGACGATAGATGTATGAACAACGTAGAAGAATCGCAATTGATGAAACCGGATGCAATGAATTCGAATCATAATAAATTTATGATTCAGCTTGCATTGAAAATTGAGAATCAGAAGGCGACAATTAATAAATTATTATCAGAAATTAACAAAATGAAAAATATCTGATTGTTACAAGCTCTGAACACTACAGAAGTAATATGTATTTCTAATGTATTATAACAGCATAATATTCTTTTGCAGCTAATTTTCAAAATGAAATTCAGTTGAAGGACAATGAGTTGTCAAATTTGAGAGAAAAATGTGAGCAGTTACAAAGTAAAGCAAGTTTTAAATCTGATCCGGTAAGTGCACTCCAAGAATTGTGTATGTTCCGAGATTGGATACTACCGGAATATAAGTTTTTCCAAGAAGGTGATAGTAAAACTTTTACTTATTCGGTAGAGTCTAAAAGAAATAAATACAGATGAAATTATTGTGGAGTTCCAAAAAGAGAAGAGAAAATAAGAGAATAAAGTTAGTTTTAAAATATTATAATTATATTTTTACATTTAAAGAATAATATTGTATATTTGCATGTAACGAAAATTGATAAATATTAAAAAAGGTTAAAGATATTTCTGTATAATCAATTACTTTGTATAATTTTTTTAAAGAAATAAAATTCAGCTATCGGTAATATTATAAGGATTAAGAGCCCTTTGTACTACTAGACTCCAGGCCCGATAAACTTTTAATCCGGTCCTGTGTGATACAAGCGAATTAAACGGGATTTCAAATATTTATCGGTTGTATGTGTTTGGGCCACTTTGTACAACAATAAGACTCGATGACATTTTAGATTGTCAGCATCATAACCGTACAGAAACAATACAAATTGAAAATATCGTTTAACACAGTATATCAACCCGCTTCGTAGAATATCTCATTTTCTATCGACATCTACTTTTAATCATTTAATCATGGCATAACATAAACAATTGTTAAATAACACTATATACTATGGCTAAAACCATAATTCAAATACGTTCTGTTTATCATTTGTAATAAAATATTTATTAAAATGATAGTGACTATTCAAAATTGTAAATTATTTCAAAACAAAATTATGCAAACTTAAAAAATTATTCATTAAAGTTATTAATACTATCATAAATCATTATGATAAATATATTCGGTTTTATATGCTCCGTTTATGACAAAGCTATAAACATCAAATATCAATTTTTGCGATTTTCTAGTACATCACAGTAAATTACATTCATCTTTGTTTTCACCATTAAAATACATTCAGTGCTGTATTGTATGTTTTGCACCAGAGCTATCAAATCACGTCGCATAATATGTTTTTTTATGAATGAACTTTCATCATATTTTTGCATTGTGATAATATAAACTAAAATTGATATTAAGCTTTTCACCAAAACAAACTTATTATAGTTTCATTAGATTAATAATCTTACTTTAAGATTTTCCTTAAAATCAATACTAATAAGTTTGGCGATACAATTTTGCAACCGAATTCCTACAGTTAGAACTTATTCATTATTTCCATACGGTATAATGTGTCAGCAATAAAAATATATTCGTTGAATCACGAAATTAATACCGTGTAATCATACGAGACACAAAGATTATAACAAAATGAGTTCATTGAACACTGCTACACTGGAAATCAATGGTGATTAGCCTATACAATGTCAGAGCAGAAAAATTTAATAACTTTATTCTAATCTGCTTTCAAAGTTTTGATTTCAAGAATAATATCAAATCGGTTTATGAATGGAAATAAATCCAAGCGTACAACGATGCGATCAATTTAAAATTTCATCAACAATTTTATTTTTTTCTTAACAATACTATATAAGCGTTATTCACATCTCAATTCATGTGAAATAGACACGAAGAACTGGATTCGAATCGGCCAATTTATTGAAGATATCAACCATGGTCAAACATCAATCTTATTTAATAATAATTCACAATTAATAAATCATGAAAAAATAAAAACGCAAACTAATGAGACAGGAAAGTTGTCCCGACACGGCGTTGCCCGCGTATTAGTTGGTTTTTTAGCATTTTCGTAGGCCATGTATTAGTGTTATTATGTATGAGAAAATTTAAAAGTAATAGGTAAAGTATCTAAAAGTTGAAATTAAGTACAAACCAAAATATATATTTTCTGAATTTACATTTTATTCATCTTATATTAAATTATTGTTTGTAATCAGTGACCTACTTACAAAAAATACTATATACATTAAAAACATACAAAAATAAATTAAATTATTAAAACTAAAAATTATCTAAGTACTACTTTGTGTACAACATTCCTGGTTAACCTGTCTTTCGCTAACACGAAGAGATTTGATGGTTTTCCTACACGTGAGCAGGCAACATATAGCTGTCCATGTGAGAAACATGTGTTTTCCAAATCCAAACCGCAAATAGACATTGTTTGGCCTTGAGATTTATTTATAGTCATCGCAAAAGCTAAACAAATCGGAAATTGGAGCCTTTTAAACGGTATTGAAGATTCCGACGCTATCAGTGGAATACGTGGCAACAGGACGATATCTCCTTTAAATATTCCCGACAAAATTGTTGCTTCAAGAATATTTTCGGTCATTTTTTTATGACTAAACGTGTACCGTTACATAATTGAGGTGGATTTAAATTACGTAGAAGAATAATTGGTGAACCAATTTTCAATTGAAGGTTGTGTGGTGGCATTCCTGGCAAATCCAGAGAATTCAAAAATTCAGTTGGAAAGTTTACGATTTCGTTTTCATCAATAACTGTGTCGATTGATTTAAAAGACATCAAATCACCGGGCAAAATCTGTTGTATATGGAAGTTAATTTCGTTCACATCAACATTTCTTGCTGCCAAAATAGCACGATTACAGAGCCAATTGTGATCTAAATAATAATTCAATATATCCGGAAAGACACTCTCAATTAGTTCATTTCTCGTTTCAACAACAGTGCAGAAAATATCTGGTAATTTTATGTATTGTGTATTTTGATGCAACTCAATTTCACCATTTCCAATATCCAGCAATTGTTTAGAAAATACTTGTGCTGTTGGATCATTTTGCAATTGTACTCGCATATTCATAGTCAGTCGAAGTGTCTCAACACTTGTCCATAAAATCGTTTTTATCGAGACGGCGCGATTAACTTCAAGCCAAACCAAAATATGAGAATGAGGCAAACCTCGCTTTTGCCACTCAATAGAATACAGCCAGCAACGTGTGTTACCAAAAACTGAATATTTTACGATTAAATTAATTAAAGATTTTAACTTTTGTTTAAACACACGTGTAACGATATCGTGACGATGTATTGATTGTTGGCCTGGTAATAACAAACTTTTTATTTCTTCCCAATTTGGATTACACGTAAATGTAACAAACAAATCAGGTCGACCGTAATGACGTACATAAGTCATCGCATCTTGTATGTATTCCTGCATGCTCCGTGGACTGCCGATGTAGCTTGAAGGTAAAATACATGCAGTTCCGATGTCATTGGCGTTTAAATTTTCATCAATGTTTCCGGTGATAGAAATACACCGAAATACACCATGCAATTATACACATTTATTAAAAAGTTAATTAAAATATTTAAAATATTAAAAAATTTGAAAAAAAACTATCCTATATTTTAAGTTGGACCAAATTACACACGGTGTAAAAAATTTCATCAAAATCGGTCCAGTAGTTTCGGAGATTATCGCGAACATACATCGTGACACGAAATTTTTATATATATAGATAATAATATACTAATAATAGTTATGAAATTACATTTTTTTTTAAATTTAAATAAATTATTTTAATACCAATCAAATGTGAATTTGGTACTAAATATAAGAGTTGTTATATGATAATGACAGATTGAGCTGTACATGAAACTATAAAAGTTTAAACATTTAGGAAATTTTTAAATATATGTACTATAAAGTTATAGACAAAAGTACCTTCAAAAATGACCAAAAACTACATGAAAATCTGATATCGTTTATATCAATAGTTCCTGGCCTTTTTGTATCCGCGTATCACTTAAACATTATGAAAAAATTTCACATACCACTCGACTTCATATCCTTTTTTTTTTTTACTCATCAACAAATAAAATGACATTATTTTACATAAATGAAGCCTTTTTTTATAATTTATTTTAATAATTTAAGTTATATAAATACATACACATAACTTACAAAAAGTAACATGACGTTAAATATTTTGCTCCATATTGGTAACTTAAAATCTTAAATTGTCTTCTGTTTATTTTTATCCTACGCTTTACTCATTTGTAAAATCAGATTAATGATAATAAAAATAAAAATATAATAATTCTTTAAAAAAATTTCTCTGCGTACCACAGATTAGGAACTGTTGGTCTATATGAACAAATTCACTTTGGGTATCTCTGAAAAAATGCTGATTTTAAGAATTTAATTAAAGATAAAAATGTGATGACGTCAATTTTAACTTTTGATGTAAATGTTATTCAAATAATATAACCAAGGTATTTTTTTATAGTTTTTAATCTTTTTACCTAACATCTAAGGTTGCAATGCTTTATACTTAGGTACTTACTTAAATTACAGATGTAGTGAGTACGTGAGTGCATGACGCATAAGTATAGTAAATTTCCAAGACAGTTCATGTGCTAGTATTATGATTTATAACAATTGACGTAATGTTGACCATTAATGAGTAATGACTAATGTGCATGTAATGTTTTCTGAATCAAAGATTAGGTATATGCTAAATTAACAATAGGAAATTAAAATAAAAGTGTTGCATCCCGTCAATTCAGCAGTCTCCCTGTAATAATTAAAATAATAAATTAAGTTAATGAAAATGAAATATAACCACAATTTAACATCAAAAAAATATTTAAATTTCGAAGTCAATAATACAATTATAATATTTGAACTTATTTTCTTGATTTTTTTTTATTAAATACAATTGACAATTATTTTTTTTTGTAATTTTTGGCCTTATACATTATAGTATTATATTATATATTCTCTATGTGTATCGAAAATCTCAATAATAATCACAACAGACTTTTGAGAAGTTACAATTTTTTGTTCTGTAAGATTTTTCAAAAAAATGTATAATAAATCATATTAGATAGTACACAATAACTAAAAAAAATTAATATATTTTATTCATATTATTATCATCTGTAAAATACAGCATGTGTTCATATTTTTATTAAGTTGAAAATGGATACTAAACTATATCATACACTATAATTAAAATCATACATTGATTGATTGCAACTGCATTCGAGCATTGAATTGCAACAAATTAATTATAAAAAAAACTATTCTGATTAGTAAACATACATATTTATCACATTTAATTTTAAATGTATTAGTAATTTATTCAAGATTAATATAAATTATTATTCGATATGATTAGGTAGCTATTAAAACATTATAAACTCTGGTAATTTAATTGGCTCATAAATGGAAACTATTTAATTATGTAAATATGTAGTATTAAATTACATATTCATTGATTGATTCAAATAGAATGATTACACATAAATTAAGAATGTTCCAAAATAGGTTTACTGAAAAATATTTGCAATTATTTCAAAAGCTTTATTTGGTTAAAAAATGTTAAAAAATAATTATAATTATATAAATTATAAATAATCTCAAGAAATTATTTATTTTTTTTAAGAGGCCGTTCTGGTAGCAAAATTCAACCGTAAAAAAATGTTTTTGTACTTCGCATTTTCCTCAGCCTTCGTTAGTCGATGGAAGTGTATTTCAGGATTGTTAGCTCAATAAAAAATTAAAATTTAATTCACTATGTCTACCATTATCAGTACCTCTACCTGGTAGACGTAATGAAATACCTTATTTTTTTATTGGAGATGATGCATTTCCTTTAACAGATAATATAATGAAACCTTTTCCCGGCTTATTTCCTAAAGGCACACCTGAACGAATTTTTAACTATCGACTTTCTCGAGCCCGTCGGGTGGTGTAAAATGTTTTCGGCATTACTTCATCTGTATTTCGAGTTCTCCAAAAGCCACTTCTATTGAATCCAGAAAAAAGCAGAACTAATTGTTATGGCCATAGCACACCATCATAATTTTTTAAGAAGAAATAAAAACTCAACTGATATTTACACACCAAACGGAATTTTTGACTCCGAAGTAAACGGAAACATTATTGAAGGAACATGGAGGAACACCAATAATGTAAAAATATCATCCCTCCTACTAATAAAAAGTGTACCACGTAGATCTACAAGTTAAATGCAAATACAAGAAGAAGTGATGCAATTTTGTAACAACGAAGGTAAAATAATTTGGCAAGAAGAATACGCATAACAAAATACTTATAAAAATAAATTATATTACCTATATATAATATAAAAAATATATTAATATTTAAAAAAAATTATCAGTTTTTTTATCATTTCAATTTTATAATTCACTATATTTTTACTGTATTAAACAGCTAAAAATTAATCTAAAATGGAAATATATATTTTAAATTATTTATATCAGTATAATAATTTTTGAATTTACCATGCATTTTCTTTGACAAGGAGTATCTTTATTGTTCAAAAATGCAAGGCTTTTGAAAGCAAACCAATTGGATTTGTACACATCTTCAATGCCTTAATTAGAGAACCAATTTTTAATTATTACATAATTTAGTTTAGGTTACTGAACTTACATGAACCAGTTCCTACACTTTTCCGATTTATTTTTTTTACATTTTAAAGCGAGCAATTACTTATGTCGTGTGGAAAATAACAAACTAGAAGTCATCCATTCTTTTAATCGCCTATTTTTAGAAGTAATTACTTTAGAAGAAAAGTACTTCAGGTCACTTATAAGTAATAACGTAAAATACGTTACACATTTACTAAAAACTATTTAATGGCAATGAAATTATTATTTTACCTGTATTTTAAAAAGTAGTTGGGTTAGAAATACAAATCAAGTTATGGTGTACAATAATTTGTATGCTTTATTTATTGGTTAATATTTTTAAGCAAACAGGAGCTTAAATTAATAAATAGCTTACGACTTGATAGTTGGGAGTCACGTACTGTGCGCTAGACCAGCGTTTCTTAAACTGTGATCCGCGGGACCCTGGGGTTCCGCAAAGCTTAAGTAATTTTTTAAAAAAATTACTTTAAAATGTCCAGCTAAAGATTAGTAATGGTGAAAAACTGTTTGCATTATAGAAAAAAAATCTTTGTATACTAAATAACAATGTATAAGCCCTATGGAATAGTCTAAATTTATATTTAGTCTAATTTAACTAATTATTATTAAAGTATTATAATATATGTATACAATTATTATTATTTTAATTTTTAATTTTAACATATTTTTTGAATTAAATACCTTTAACACAATATTATTATATGATTATAATTTATTTACAAATAATCTTGAAAAAAACTAAAAAGCTAAAAAAAAAAAAAAATAGGGGTTCCACGATAGATGTGGATATCAAAAAGGGTTCCTGGATAAAAAAGTTTAAGAAACGATGCACTTAGACAGTAGCAAGTCATATAACGGCGACAACGGTCAACTACATTTATGCAAAAAGTTCCGAACGACCGTCAGTGAAATAATAATGTACCGCTCCCGTGATTATGAAACGCGGACTCTGTCACGTAGACGATGGGCGTAGTTACGGTCTGTCGGGACGGCGTCGATACGGCACACAACGCCATCTCTTGAGCGTTGTATATTTTTCGCTTTTACCAGAACGGCCTCTTAAGCAAAATTCACAAACTCTACTTACTCAAATGGAACTTATTATTATAATGTTTTATTGATATCCAAATACAGTTGAATATCCTGAAATCAGCCGTTATTAATCATCCATATTTTTAAATATAGTACACATGAAAGAATCCTGATAACAAAAAATAATATGTTATTATTATTGAATTTGAATAAGAGTTCGGTAATAGGTGTTCAAGTCAGCAAAAATACTTTAAGCAAATAAATTTTACTCAAAATATCTCTGAACCAGAGAAACCTACAATGTATTATTTATGCTTGAATGTTCAAATGATAAACTATAAAAAAAAAAAAAATTATTTATTTATAATATATTTATCGGTAAAATGTATTTAATAATATTATATAGTATAGTATTATCTATTTTAAGTGTTATACATAATACAATTTAGATTTTTTAATGGATATTAATACATACTAATATTAAATAGAATTTGTATACAATAATAATTTCAGTAAAATTAAAAATATATATATATATATAATTCATAGAATTAAATAAAATAACAGTTTAGGAGACATTAAATATAAGAAAAATAATAGACATATTGTCTAAAACAATATTTAACAATTACAACTACAGAAGTGACTTAGACATTGCAATAAAACCATCAATAAATTTAAATAAATTATTTAAAATACTTGGGAAATAAATAATGTTCTTATATAACTGAATGAATATCAACATAAAATTTGATATGCTAATTTAGTTAGTTATCAGTGAATGACAAAAAAAATTGAAAATAATACATAAATATGTGAAATATATATAAACATTAAACATATATAAATTGGTTGAATTTTTTTTAATTCATAGTTTTAATAAATTCGATTGCTGCACAAAACTGAATCCACCAATAATGTTCTTCGCCTTCTAAACGGTCGCCATAAAAACTATTTATATACTGAATAGTTGATAATAAAGAAGGTGGATTTGCCTGAAAAAATACAAAAAAATGTTATATACTTTCTAATATTTAATTATGAATATAAACCAATATCAATTGTTATTACTTTGATAAGAACATAAACGAGAACTGGTACTATATCATCTGCAGCTGGATGCATATTGCCATGTTCACCAGCCATTGACATTAGATTTAATAAGGTTGTTGTACATCGAAATACACACTGTAATTTATCTTTTGGTGTTTTGTATGCTGAAATTGCTGAAATTTCAGCTTGAGCGGAAGGCCAAGGACATTCAAAATGAAATTTCTAAAAAAATTTCATTTTAATATTAAATTATAATTTTTTTTTATCATCTTCTTACTTTAGGAATGCGTAAATCATTGTGTGTAGGTACTATATTCTTGGACAAATTAGACATATGTTCATGTAAAACTCTGAATTAACATAATAGAATAACAAAGTTTAATTGTTACTCAATTTTAATAACAATAAAAATATTTTTTCTTACTGGTCTCTATAAAAATCAGCATCCCCATTAGGATACATAGCTAATGAGTATACTCGACTAATTATTGCTCGTTCAATAGTTAATTTTGCATCATCAATTTGATCAAAACTAGCCCCTACACAAAAAATACAAATTTTACAATAAATAGTATTCTAATAAATTTAATAAATTTAAATAATATACCATATAATATTTAATAAAATATATATTATATATTTTATTTATTTTTTAAAGACCCTTGGCAGCATAGGCCATTGGATACCATATATTATAAAGATGTTGACTTGGTGTATTATTATGTATATTAGTACATAATCAAAAAAAAAATTATTGTAAAATATTAATTAATAATGAATTAGTTTACAGAATTATTACCCTTCCAAATACTGTTGCGTTTCATTTCAACTTCAAGTGTTGACAAAAATTTATTGAGATGCTGATTTTTCTCATCTGCTAATTTACGTTGTTCAAATTCATCAATAAACTCGGACACCCATTGCTCATTTTGCTCTAAAAATATCTGCACACATTTTGTAATCAAAAACTGACTACATACTTCACGATCACATTTGATTTGTTCCAATAATCTTTATAAACAATTAAATAAATTATAATTAATACACATAAAGAAAAAATTTAATTAAAATTTGACAAATCACCTGTTTAATTGAGCTATACTAGTTAATAATGTTTTTCTACATTTTACTAAATATGTTATATAAGGTGCTCTTGACTTATAATCTTCTTTCAATGCAATAATTAATTTTTGACAACTATAAAAAAGTTTTATAGTCAGAAAATAATATAACCAACACACAATTATTATTTCATTTTATTATATCTTACTCGTGTGTATCAAACATTTTCAAGCACCTAATTGTTTCATGAAGTCTGGCTGATAAAAAATGATCATTTAAATTGGTTGCCTCAGCTAGTTGATATTGTAACAAGCCAACTACTTCATTATCTTTATCACGCCAAGTATTCAACTATTTAAAATCATTTAAACATTTTTGTTATTTATTTATTTAATACATTTTTGAAATAATTATATTTACCATAGGTTTGGATTCTGTTTCGTTACACCAGGGTACATATTGTATATCAACTGTACTCAAAACTAGTCGCAATTTTTTTTTTGCATCATCAAATGAGTTTGTTTCTAAATCAATACTTTGGTTTAATTCTGACACAGAATCTTCATCATTTTTTATGCTTCCTAATTTTTGACTAGCATTCTTATCATTTAAATTCAATAAGCTATTGCTTGGTTTTTTACGATATTTAGCCAATATATCTTCAGATGATTCTATTACATTTTTAAATAAATAAAAATATATAATGAACAATTATTAACAAATAAATAAGCAGTTAATAGACCAATTAATGAAATAACTACAAACCATCAAGCAGAGAATTTTCGGATATATTATTATTCAAAATTGATTCATTCCCACCATTATTACTAGATCCTTGCAATGTATCGTAACTGAGTATATAAACGTTAATTAAAAATATTATACTAGCTTATATTGAACAATTTTAAATTTACCTTAATTCATCATTTCTATACCATTTTCCACGGCGATTTTTAAAAGAAATTTTAAAGTTTTTGAAAAAACCTTTTTTATTTTTACTGTCATCATCATATGCTTCTCTATCGCCACGTTCTGCTGTTTTATCAAAACTTATACTTTTGGTTATTAAATTCCCAGTATTATTTCCTATTTTCGTGTTAATCAAAACTGCATTAGTATTAGTTTTCATTGTTACAGTTGAACCGTTCATTAATGCAGGTTTGGGTTTAGTTCCTAGACTACTGCCACTACTACTAGTGGATGCCAGACTACAAGAGCTCATATGTAAGCCAAGATTTGTGTCTCCATCATCAACTGAAGCCTATATACAATAATTAAATTATGAGTACTGTTATAAAATGAAATAACTTGACAGCCATACTTCTTGACTGGATGAAGGATGTGGTCTATGAGAAAGTTTTGATGGTCCAGTTGGTGTTTGTCCAGTTGAAGTAGAAACCATAGAAAATGCAGATCTTGATACATTTGATCCTATATCAGTTCGATTAGATGGAAGATCATCAGGTGAACCAATAAATTTATTAGCATTTGATTCTGCACTACTATCAGAAACTTTTCGTCTTGATGCTCTGTTATTAAACAATGAAGCATTTTCAGACCGTAAAGAACTATCTTGCTGGATTTCTACTATTGGTCTAAATACATTTGGTGCTAAATAAATAAAAAATAAAGGTATCATTAATACAATTACAACATATAACTGATCATAGATATAAAAATGATAAGAATAAAACTTTCTGTAACTTACAGTAATGATAGTTTGAAGAATCATCTGTTCCATCCATATCACCACGGCCTTCTAACTCGTATCGTAACATATCATCAGATCTATAATGCATAGTAAATATTAAATTAATAAGATAGATTTAATAAATATAATCAAAGCTAAAAATAAATATAGGAATATACTAAAACTATAAAGTTAATTATTACCTTGCAACACTAGCTGTATCATCTGTATCAACCTCAGCAAGTCTATCAGTGTCTGAAGCAAAAACGTCCGTACTCCAGGCTTCAGATGCAGTTTCATTAATATCTAATACCTATATTTAAGTACATCATTAATTAGTTACTAAATTAAAGCAATAATATGATAAAATAACTAACTTGTTGATTATTTGGAATAGCTTGAGGAGGTAAAGGTTGAAGTGGTGGTGGAAGTTGAACATTAATTTGAGATCTATCAGATAGATCAAGTATTTCGTTATCACTTGCCAAAACATCCATACTCCATGTATCTGATACCATTGATGACGTAGTTTCGTCACGTCCCATTCCTTAACAACAGAGACAAAGTTTAAAAAATATTCTATACAAGACTTCACCTTTTTACAGTTAATAAAAAAATAATAAAGCTTTTATAAATTATAATAAAGTAATTCAAAGATTTTAAACAAATATATAAGTTATTTTGGGTAGAAAACTGTTATTAATTGTAAAAACTTCATTTTTCTGAATTGAATTATTTAATTTATTTACCTTGCATCTTGGACTTAATTTCAAATTTGCCAAATTTATCATCAAGATCAAATTTACATTGTTTTGCAGATGGATTTATACGAGCAGATGGCATTGGAGGACCATTAGCTACATCTTCATTTTCAGTAACTTGTGATGAAGGTGTATCGCGACCTTATTAAACAAAAATAAATAACTATAAGCTTAAAATTGAAAATAAATAAAACCAACCTGATATATTTGGGGTTCCTCGTCCTGATACGTTTGCCGATACCATATCTGATAAATTATCATTTTGATCTTGATCAAGTTCTACAGATGATGGGACGCTATGATTAGATGCAGCTTCTGAGACAGCTTCTAAATAATCGCTAGTATTGCCAGTATCCACTGATTTTCAATTAGGATACATAAAAAAAATATTCATTACTTTGCTGTTATAAAAAAAATTAAGTTATTACAATGAAAATACAACTGAAATGACTAGGAATAAACCTAGTGTAATATTAATTGGAAAGGTTTAGCGTTGACATTTTGATTTTAATTTTATTTATGTTTAAATATATTTTTGTTCAAATATACAATGACTGCTTTATTTCAATAATGTGCACAACTAATTTATGAATTGTTAATTCAAAGATATTTTAGTAATTATGATTAGGTCTTTGTTTATATCAAAATAATATTCCTTAAAAGCAATTTTTTATATTTTTTTTTGAAATCATATTGTTAAACTAACAAAATATAATGAACAATTCATAGGTATTATAACTTGAGTATGATTGAAAAGTAATTATAAAAAATTATTTATAAAACTAAATACTTATCAGAAGTGTATCACAAAAAATAATTCATTTTCATAAACTTGATATAAATAAGGTAACTATAATGCATTATAATAAATTCCAAAAACTTCAAAACTATATAAAATAAATATCCTCAACTCATGAACAAGTTCACTATAATTATATTTTGAATCTAAATTACAATTTTAATAGTTAAACAATTCTTATGTTAATTAGTTTATAATACATGCAAGTATAAGCTGTAATATTATAATATTTATCAAAACTGTTATTATCTACTTAATCCTTATAAAAATTGAAAAAATAAAAATAAAATTGGTACTCATAATGATGTCAACTAGAATAAATTTTTTTTATATATTTTGTCCTTATATTTATGTATATCATAATTTATCACATATTATTCATCACAAATTTATTTTTATTATTGTTTTCATTGTAAAAACCTTAATAAGATAAATATTAATTTTAAGTGTTGATTCTTACCAATTGAACCTTCATGAGAAACAGAATGTAAAGGTTTTTCTTTTTTCTTTGTAACTTCATATGATTTGTTGTTTTGCTCATCATTTTCTTGGGAGTTAGATTTTTCAAGTTCTAAAACCTTATATTCTGGCAATAAGCCAATAGCTGAGTTAAATGTATTCTCAAATGGAATAATAAGAACTTTTTTATCAAAATCTTTTTTTGATTTGTCATCATCGTTATAATCTCCTCCTCCAGTGTTTGAAAAATTTAATATATTTGTACTTGGTAGTACTTTTCCAAAAGATGTAGAAGCTAAAGAAATATTTAATTTGATAAAATATATTTACTATTATAAATAATAATAATAAAAAAAATAAAAAAATTTAATATGAATATCTCACCAGTTTTACTCAGTAAGCTAAGTTTTTTTTGTTCAACAGGTAATTGAAATTTATCATTTGAATTAGTATCAGGCCATATTATTGGTATATTCATTAACAAATCAGCCAATTCTTTTTTATCAGACTCACTTAATGTACCATCATTAGAAACCACGTGCAAAAAATTTATCTAAAAAACGTACAATATTTTAGATTTAGATTTTAATAATAAATAATTTTCTTACAAATGTTTGAAGTTCTTCTTCAGTAAATAATGCAACGGATCGAATTAAGTTTTCTAATTTAATATTTGGGTTTACAGTCAGATTTTCATCATTCAAAGAATTTCTTGATGACGTTTTTAATAGTGCTTCCACTATGCTAGAAATGCAATCCTTATTGAAGTGTTGATACAAATCTTGTACTTTGTTATCTATTGGTTCATATTTGCACATGGCTAACACTTGAATTATATTTGCTACTTGAATAAGATTATACCGTGCAATTTGAGTAATATCAGCATCAGTAATCCCATGTGGTTCAGGATTTACAATTGCTGGACAAATAAAATATGTAAATACTAGATTTACACAGATACCATAAATCTAAAAATGAAATTTGTATAAATATAAAATTATATACTGTAAAAAAAAAATTAAAATATAATACCTGTTTTTCAGTCAAAGTACTTCCTGCAGTTAATAATGTATGGATTTGCCTAACGAGCCAACATACTGAACTTGGAAAACAATAAAGACTTTCATTAAGACTGTTAATAAATTTTGATGCAATAGCCACTAACTGTTCTACAATTGACTTCCTGTAATTTTGTAATTTTAAATTGTATTCTGAACTTTCTTCTCGATTGGACGTTCTCAAATGAGAAAATCTAAAATTTTAAAAAATTACAATTAAATAATGAATAAAACATACATTTTAATCAATTTTTTTTAAATATTATTTAAAAATTTACTACCATACTATACTAAACCGATATAATTCTATAAAATTTAGGATTATAAATTTGTTTATTAATTAATATACTAGTAATCTCATGACCTGAAAATGTAATGCTTTATACATATTTTAATAATTTTATATTTTTATACAGATAACACTGCTGCACATGAACTATCAAATCAAACATGGTGCGTTTGTTGTTTAATATTTTTTAGACATATTAAAATAAAATTAATAACATATAGTATCGCATATATTTTATGTTTTTTTTTTTTTTTGTGAATGATCTTAATTATTGATATCCTATAGAATGAAATTTAAAAAAAAATAAAAATGTTCTTACCTTATTCGAGCTTTGTCTGGGTCAATATCAAGGTACTTTTCTTCATCTTTCAACAATTGCATAATAGGATCATGAAAAGCAGCAGTCAAAAATAACTTAGCGGAAAATAAACTTCCATGGAATGCTGAATACAATCTTGAAAAAGCACAAGAACCATGACTTAATACCCTGAAAAATTATTAAAGCTTATTAAATTATAAAATTCTTAATATTTATTTATTTTCTAAAACATGTCTACAATTTTAATTGAAAACAAACCTATGAGGGTTATCTGCAGGAATTAATTGTAATACAGCCAAATGTCTAAGTAATTTTAAAATTAAAACATTATCTTCTGCCATTAAACATGATCCAAATATTCCAGATATAGTGCAATTAACAACTTCTGGCATTTTACTAGATAACAATCGATCTCCAGCAGATAAACAACATGCTAGAAGTTTTGGACTTAAACGCAATTTTTGCACAAGAACACCAAATGTTTGTGAATTCTATAACAAAATTGAATAATTAGTTTATTTATTTTTAGTAAAACACAGACTTACTTCATAGCCAATAGATTCATGAGCATCAATAAAATGTGCATCATCTAAATGATGAGCAGTTTCACAACAATCAGCAGGTGTACAGTCAGGATTTGATATTACTAGTTTGTTAAGATTAATTCGTTGCTGAGTTGTTATCCATGCTTCTTGTGCCAATCTATTTGATACACTGATTACCTGTTGAATCAAAAATTAAAAGCTGTATATAATAGGTCGGTTTTTGTGATTAGACTTATTATGAATGAAGTGTTATGGTGTAAACATGGCTGTTTATTAAATATACTAAAACCTAAGTGTGCAATACAATACTTACTTATAGAATTTATTAAGTTTTTCTACAAAGTTAATCATGAAAATGCACACTTAGTATATTGTTAACAGGTTACCTGTTCATTGAGCGTTTGTAAGTTATTCAACTCATATTGGGTGAAAAGTCGTTCTTGACGCATATGTGTGGCCAATTCCATCAAATGTTGCAATAAAGTCTGTTCTTCCATTGTTCTAGGTTTCTGCACATGAGGTGAAAAATAATTAATTTGTATCGAAGACAAGTAATCATTAGTAATGAACTGTTCAACAGCACTGAGACTGGTTTGATTGAAAGAGTTTAAGTGAACAGAGAGGTGACATTGATTAACAAGTTAAACAGCATATTGATAACGAAAAGAACTTAAAACTATTTAAGAGTCTATTTTTCATTATTTTATTTACGTCTTTACACCAGCGAAACGAGAGTTGACCCGATTGGAATTCGGTATTTAATAACATCTACTGATAATTCCCTACGGTCGCGAACATATGTGTTTATTATACTTCAGTCGTGCATTATAATACCGTGTAATTGCTTCGGTCCGAGGAGCTGCAACGCAGGAACTAATTAGACAATTTCGTTAACGATGATAACAGTGAATTATAGGGCTGTAATCGACCGAAATGAAAAATTACGCCAGTCCTATTAAATCATCAACTACATGAGCGATTAGCGGCCAACGATTCCGGCGAAACAACAGAACACACTACATGATACGTATACGTATATAAGTCACAATATTGTACTCGAACGCGGTCGTTTTGACATTCTACAACTCTGCTAGTCCCCGACAACGATGGTTCGCGATGTGCAAACTGCAAATTGCAAGTACGCACACACACACACCACACACACACACACGCACACACGCACAAGCGCAGAATTTGTGTACAAATAATAATAATAATAACGCTAACAAAGTACTGGGACATATGACATTACTGATAAGGGATAGTGAAAACAAACACGTTTTAAATAAAAAGCAGCGGAAGTGGGAAACAAATAAATCATCTCGTGCACAGCTGCTGCAGATAACGCTGTAGAGACGGTCGCGAACAGCGTATACTTATAGGTGTGTTATTTCGTGGTGGTGGTGATGGGCACGATTATTATTATTATTATTGCGATTGCATCCCTTTGTGATTGCGTAGCTTAGTTCTTGTGAATGCTCATTATTTGTGGCTCTATCTAGAAACAATATCGTCGGCCAAACGTGGGATATTTGAAAAACCGTACTCGCATAATACTCCTACTGTTTACCATGCGTGTACGTATTACCATTGATTATAAACAATATAGTATTTGATTACTATAGTAATCAACGGTATTACTTTAATTCTTATATATTACAATATATCTATAATATTATTAGTTTCGAGCTAAAATCTTGGTAGTAAAAAAAAAAAAAAAAATGTATTGGAATCGAATTTAATTTTACGAATTCTGAATTCTATATTTAATGTCGATGCTTACGAGGGTTCAAGATGCGCATATGAAGGCGCGTACACAGGCAAGGTTTTAGAAGTTCAAACCCTCCCCCTACGCGAAATTCAGGAAAATTATTAAATATGTTCCTATAGAATAAAATTGGTTTATATATTATACATGTATGAAAATGTACAACCTAACAACACATTCAAAATATTTTTTTGTGTACGTGCCTGCGTATGAATATCAACTATTTACACGTCAAAAGCGTATATTATTCCCTAAAAATACCAAAACCAAACGTGAAATCCATAATAACACATACTTAGTCTTCACTTATGAATTTTATTAAAAAAAAAAAAAAAATGTCGATGGTAAAAATCACACTCACCTATATTTGATGTACGGTCTTAAATCGTCGACGAAGTGATTAACGAGGAAACTATGAGTTTTATGACGGTGTCATTTATTTTTCACAAAACACATTTTTCAGACCTGTATCACATGTCTTACGTGACATAATTATGTAATTATTAATTCATTTAAGATTTTTTTTTTTTTTCTAAATGGCAAAAACATTGGTAAAATATTACACAGTTGACAAAAATTTTTTACCATAAAGATTTAATGATACACATGTACAATAAACTAATAAAGGTAATAACTATTAATGAATTGTGTCAGCAACAAATAATTCTAACATTTATAATTGACTCATTAAAATGGACAATCGTGCGTTTTTACTACTACAAAAAAGAAAAATAAAAAAAAAATAGCTACGAGTCGTGGTACTTTTTTGTTATCCCTACTACCGCGACTACTCAATTCTGTTATCTCAACTACTATAGCACTATCCAGATAGTTCTGTATTTTAATACATAATACACGTCGTGAATTGCCATCTATATTATAATGAATATTATAGCGTTTTCTATATATTTAATTAATTACACTACACTTGTGTAGTGATATCACACCCCACGGGTGTACCTAGCTAATGTGCTACACTGGCGTATTAAGTGGAACATGATAACATATTCAATTTACACTGGTCAGTGCTGTTAAAAATACCATTTCAAATTTGGTTTATTCTAAATATATATTGTTTTTATTTTACTATTTCATACCTATTACCTAATTCATTTAGCATGGACGCTGTTGAAGACGTTGAGGTTTAGTTCCATTTAAATAATAAAATAAACTATTTTTGAATACCAACAAATATGGTGCAATTAAACCTCTCACCAAGTATGTATTTATAACTAATTTATAAATTCGCGATTATCTAGGACGCACCGGTAGTCAAGATAACAGAATTGAGAGTCATGGCATCGAGCGATAGTAGGGGTATCACAAAAGAACCCAAGTCGTGCAATGATTTGCCTCCGTTTGAACATTTGAATTTGGGCCACATCACCAAGTCCCACTTCAAAATTATGTTGAATTATGTTAAAAGCTATATTGAAAGGAAGATAATTTTTCTTATTTTATTTAAATTACTAAACAAAATGGCTTTTAATTTTAATAGGATTCCGGGTTCATAGATAAATAATTTACGTTTATTAGGAATTTCAATCTTAGTGTAATATTCTTCCTATTAAACTATGCTACAATGAATAAGTTCCTAGAAAAAAATGTACAACTGTGTGGAAATATATGAAAGTTTGAAAGATGTTCAATTGTTTTTATAAATCTTACATTTTATTATAAATGTAGATTTTGTATCAAAAAATTTCGTATTATTTTAGTGTTTACTTATGTAACTAGTATTAAACTGTAAGACTATATATCTATTGGGATGAAATTACATCTACTACAAATTGACAAACCGAATGAACTATTTGAGAGAGGAAACATTATTAATTTTGTAAATTATTATTGTGGAAGGAGAAGTATTGAATAACACGTAGTATGTAATAAGTGGCAATTTTTTTTTTTGTTATTTCAAATCTTTACGAAAATGAATTATTATACAGTACCGCAAATAATTTTATTTTTAAATTTAATTTGTACAATAAATAGTGTATATTGTGTAATGTTCGAGCTATTAATTTTTTCAGACAAAAGGCTCTTTAGTAAAAAAAAATAATTGTTCAGTTGCTTATACTTATTCCTACGTCATAACTTATAATATAGTAAACGTATATATAATAATTAATAAAATATATCAATAAAAAGCCTCAACAATACTCGATGGTCAACTCGAAACGATGCATGTTTAAATATATCTCAAAATTGGGAAGAAATCATTAAAGCATTAAAACCAATCATCGAAGATTCAATAGAAAAAGTACAAATCGAGTGTTTAACAATAGGAATTTTAAAACATTAAATAAGTTAGAAATTGGAATATTAATAATTGTTTGGGGAGTTACGTTGCAACGCTTTAATAAACAAAATCATACAAAAAAAGTTTCACTTGATTTACATACATAAGCGGAAATTTGGTGAAATTAGTGGGGGGGCTGAGCATTATTTGCTTATTACACCTATAGGTACTCTGTACGCAATTATTTATTTCAACAAGGCAATTTACAAAGTTTGAAAATTTGACATACTCAAAAATGTAACCAAAAAAACAATTAGGTGCCTTATCTTAAACATTTTTGGAGTAGGTATTCTAAACAGAAATTATTAATTAAATGAAACAACCAATGCAGGTATTATTACATATTATTAATATTACATTAATTACGATCGTTCCAAGTCATGACAACAAATTAGTAAAATCTTACGAATTTGATTTAATTTTTATCACAGAATATTTTTTTTTAATTCAGTTATTAAAAATGCATTTTACAATTATAATAATTATTGTTTTTTTAGTCGCTTAACAATTTTAGGACTAGGGGGGCTAAGACCTGTACATTAAATTTCTGGAAGGGGGCTCAGTAACCCTCAACCTCTCCCTCCCCGATTTCCGCTTATGATTTAAAAAGTGTGGTATAATTATACAACTTTTTCATCCAGTATGATCTAAAAAACTGTTTCAATCACTACGAACAAATTAAAAAAACAAAGCCGTGGGGTGGCTTTTTGTAATTGCATTAGGATCTGAAATGTTATTACTACGCTGATTATTACTAACTGATAATCAATAAGACCCCTTCTTGAATGAATGAGAAAAAAAGAAATCGCAAATGACAAATTATGTCTCATTATTTTACTCTTAGGCAAACTAAAAAAGTCTTACTGCATACAGATTTTTACCAGTTAAAAAAAAACAAAAAAATAAATAGATTCTGTAGTGTAACATGTAGGAGGGGATGGGGGCAGAAAAATATCAATACCTGGGTGCCTAATTTCTAAATACTTCTCTACATCAGTGCTTATTTTAACTAATATACTGAGTGACACAAATGTCGCTTAGAAAATATTTTTGTCGTCTAGAAGATGATATGTTAAATTATTGGGCGACAACGTAGTTTTGGTAAAAATTAAGGTTATTGGGTGTATAATTAAAGTTATTAAGGCATGGGTGTAGCGATGGTGGGGCAGGGGGGACTTGCCCACCCCTGCGCCTTAAACTGAATTATATTTGTTTATACCAAATGTGTAAGTTTTACATTAAAATCAAAAATTAAATAAGATATAATTCTAAAAATAGTTTAGTGGGACCGAGTGATATCTACACGTGTAATCGTTTTGACGTTTTATGGGTTATCTAATGGTCTATCTGTAGATTATTTGAACTACGAGTTTAACACTAATAATTTTATGTTTTTGCCCCTCCCTGATTCAAATTTTAGCTACGCCCATGTATTAAGGTGTTTGTAAATATTTTAACTATTTATTAGTAGTTCATTATGCTTGATTTTGTAATTTGTTTATCATTTTCTTTGATGATTAGAAGTTGAAACATAAATTATATTGATTATCAGAATATCTACAATGAAAAACCCATAGATTTAAGAAGTCTATTATATGTCTATGGGAAACCCATGCGATAAAAATCATATGATATTGTATTCTTTACATTGTTCTGAAAAAACTTCATTGTGAACAAACGTGTTCACGTTTATATTTTGTGAAGGACACGCGAACGTCACTCGCTTTTTCAGGTTGAACGTGAACTTGAACAATGTTTATGTATATTTTTATTGAATTTGAACATCCCAAAAATCGTTAAAAAAAAAAGCGAGCGACGTTCATGTGTCCTTCACATAATATATATGTGAACACGTTTGTTCACGATGACGTTTTTTTCAAGATGTTCAAATTAATTTTACTATCATCCTCTTATGGCTTTATGACTATAAGAGTTATAGTCGCCTTGACCAACTCTTCCCAGTTTGTAATTTAGGTCTTCATTTATGCCATCTCTCTAGCCATAGCAAGGGCGTATTTGAGGGGGTTCGAATGGAGGCATTTGCCCCTCCTCCCATGGTTCGTATTTTTTTTGAATATAATACATTGATTTATTTAAAAAATGTTATGTATAAATAATTAATAATATAAATGACTAGTCTATCATTATAATATGTTATCATTATAACAGGAACAGGAACAGGAACAGCTGTAGGTTAAACTGTAAATTATTTTTAAGTTTGTATTGAAGAAAAATTAGTTTCGCCCCCCCCTGTCCTCAACTCAAATACGCCCTTGAGCTATAGACGGATCTACGGGGTGTGCCGGGTGTGCTTTGGCACACCCC